CTGTGTTGGCACTGGGATGCCGGGGGCTGCTCTGAAGCAAGGGGTGCACCCATGGGGACCCCTCCGGGGTGTCCCAGTCCAGCCACGGCCCCTGTGGTGAAGCTTCCCGAGTGATGATGCAGGGGTGCTGCACGGGGTGGGTGAAGGCACAGGTGGGAAGCCCCACCCTATAGAGGGAACATGCGAAGGATGCAGCGGCCCCCCTCAGCCCAGGCTCACCCTGAGCATCGCCTCATCCTCCTGCACTCCCTGCCCCGCTGGCGGGAGCGTTCCCGGGCGCAGGTAACATTTGGGCACATTCCCATAACCGAGTGTCACCAACTGCTGCTGCGGCAGGCCCGGAGCCCCTCTCCAGTGCTGCTGTTTGCTTTGCAGCCTCCTTAGCCCCTATTGAGGCTTTTCAGCTCCAGCCCCTTCAGGGGGTTTAAGTAGGTAAAACCTGAGGAAGAGGCTATTTTCCTCCCTCCCTTTTGAGCCCTGCCTTGTGCCCAAAAGGCCCCCTTGTTTCACGCGTGCCAGTCACCTGGCTGGGCCCCCAGCCCCTTTCTCTCCCAGCCTCCCTTTTCTTTCTCCTTTCTCTCTTTTGACTTTTCCAGGAGCCCTCGCTCTCCAAACGAGCTTCAGATTGGATCCAGATTGAGGTCCCTTTGTCTTTCAAGGGTTGTACTAAGCTAATTAAATGTGATCCCAACAAATAAACGCAGATCTCCCCATTACATTCAGGCCTGCCTTTCAGGCAGCACCGGGCGGCCCCTCGCCCCCGCCCGCTCCGCGCAGGGTCCCCCTCATTGAGTCCCGGCCATTGAAAGCACTGCCAGGATTTCTTTTGTGCCGGGGGTCTCCGAGCCCTTTTTCCATCAGAAAAGACCCCCAAACAGCAGCTCGGCCTTTGTGAGTTTGCAAGCAAACGCCAAAGAAAAGCCCCCTGAATGCTTTAATAAATGGCACATTTAGCAACTTCGGAGGCGCCTGGCTCCTGCGGCAGCCGCAGGGGTGCGATGATCCCTCCTTGCCCCGGCTCCCCCGGCTCCCGCAGGGGTGCGATGATCCCTCCTGCCCCCCTTTCCCTCCGGCTCCCGGGGCATTTGCAGCCCGTGGAGTCGCAGAGGTTTCGGCTGGAGCAGCTGACAGCCCCGGCTTCCAGCCCGGCTCTCCGCAGTCTCTTTCCCGGCGCTCGGGGGGCGCACGGAGCAGGTGATGGGGTCGGCACCGGGCACCGGGCACCGGGCACCGGGCACCGGGCACCGGGCAGGGCACGGCGGGGCGGCCGGGGCCAGGGGGATTTTGGACTCAGACCCCACGGTCCCTTCCCCTCGTATTAGCGCTGGCAAATCCAAAATCGTTTTTAATGACACATACTACCCCCCCCACCCCACCCCGGATCGGGGGCTCCGCTGGACTTTTCTCAGCCCAACTAATATCTTTTTAATGACTTTGGGAGGGGGCAGAGCCCGGCTCTGCCCTAGAGCCTGGATTGCTCCAAACAGATGTTGGGGCAGAGGGAGGGGGATGCTCTTCCCTGCCAGGGACTTTCTTCTAAAGTTCAAACGAGAGGGGAGCTTTCAATCACCGCTAAAAATGTATTTCTTCCCATTGAACAATGGGCTCCTTTCTACGCCCGAGGGGACTCGGCTGCGATCGCGTTTCTGCTGCCGGAGAGGAGAAACCTCCGGTTTTAGCGCAAGAAAAACTCAGCCTCGAAAAGGGTTCTTCCCTGCGCCGGTTATTTTCGTAGCTCTTCATCCCTCCTGCGTTCACCCTCTACGGAAAAAAAAAAAAAAAATAAAAATAATACAAAATTGTACAAACGAAGCACTAATCCCCCTTCCGCGCTGCAGCCCTGAGCCGCAACGCAGGAGCCGCCGCGGATCTTTGCAGCGAAGCCGGGCAGCGAATGCGGGCTTTGAGGAAAGAATCGCGGCTGCACCGGCCCGGGGCAGCGGAGGCTCCATCCTCGCATCCCGGCTCCATCCCCGGCGGCCCCACAAGAGTTAAATTTTAAAGCAAATCAAATTCCCATTGGCCACTGTATATTATCTCAGCAGTCTTCATTTGATACCTCTTTAATACAGAAAGGAGCTTTTCAAACCCCTTTTCTCTCTTTTCTCCCGCCACTCTTTAAGAGCAATAAATGTTCAACTGCAATAACTATAAATCAATCTCCGCTCTGTTCAAATCCTATTCATGCGAAGGGCTGGAAGAGGGGAGAGAGCTCCCCCCTCCCCCCCGCCCCCCAAAAAGCAGCTGCTGGGCTCTAATCTCCTTTCTTGCACTGTCATTCACCCTCATTTTTCCTCCATCACCCCATCCCTGCAATCTTTTCTTGTTTTGCTTTTCTTTTCTCTCTTTGCTGCATTATGATCCCATGTCTCCCCTCATCAGACCCCAACCTTGTCCAGATCCTGACCATCCCCTTGTAGGCTGTGAAAGAAAAGAAGAGTCCATGGATGTCAAATTGGTCTCAAAAAGACCATGAAAGATTGATTTGCTCCACTTTTCTTCTGCCTGACATTATTTCTGAGGGTCCTGAATGGGAAACCAGAAAGTCTGGGACTGGAATAAAGATGTTCTCTCTGTAAGGGGGAGACGGGGGGGAAAAATGCCCATTTACTCCTGGCCCATCAACCCTGCAAAACAGAGCAAAAGAAAAGAGGACTGTGGCTATTCAGAGTCAGACCAATATGTACACCTCCCAACAATATGCCAATATACTGAGGGCTTCTCTATTAACACCCATGAATATTAAAGTGCTCACTAAACGCTCAGAAGGAACTTTGGGAATATACACATGAAAATACAAGCAGCATTGTGCGGGGCTCAGAACAATGGGGCGGCGATAATGGCCCTTCTCTATTAACAGCCATGAATATTAAACTTGTTTCCTCTTAAATGTTAAAAAGGAGGGATAGCTGCGATATTAAAAAAGAGAAATGAGTAGGGGGTGGAAGGGGAACACGCAGCAAAGCACCTTCCTAGGGCCGGGAAGAAGCTTTGGGAAACAGCTGGGGATATTTAAAACCACGTAGAAAATGGAAGATTTTTTTTTTTCCACCTTTTTCATTCACTCCCCCCCGCACCGCCGAGCCCCCGCAGCCGGGAGCGGGGTTCAGCACAGCCCGCACCGGAGCCGCAGGGGGTTCAAGAGAATCTATTATTTTTTTGTCCCGGAATAACTTGAAGGTTGAAGGGTTTTCCTGGGGAAAGGGGAAAATAAAAAAAAAAGCAATCCGATGGCTGGCTTGCCTTGGCGGCTGGAGTGAGCCGGTGTTGGGAACCTTTCCACCTGATGCGTTATGTTTAGCAAGGCTGAAATATTCTGATGGCTCCTCTAGCCAAAGTCCAGAAAAACAAACTTATTTTTTACGCTTATTAAACCCCAAACCAATTCCTGGCAGGTTGTTAACCTCCTCTTTCCAGCGCTGCCTCTCTCGGGGCAAAGACCCGAAGTAAGCGCAGATTTGGGTGGGTTCCGGACATCTGCGTTGCTTCTTGATTGGATTAATAGAAATAATTGCACATGGGTTATAGCATCGTTTCACCCAGGCCAGAAGTCACTCCACAGCTTCACCCCATGAAACATCCACCCAGGGGATAGGGTGGGGGTTTGGGCTGTGCTTGGCTGCTGCTCCGGGAGCGGTGAGACCCGGCGGGGCTTCCCGGGACTCCGGGGTGCGGGAACTGGCCTTTGAGGATCCTGGGGGCCCAGCCTTCTTCCCGCAGCCCTTTACAGCCCCTCGTCCCCATGAAAATCAAAAGAACAAGGCTAAGGAGAGGGCTCTAAGCTTCGACACAGCAGGATTTGGTTTAAATCCGGGAAAGATTAACCCTTTGCTGAGCCGGCAAAGCTCGGGCCCGGAGGGGAGCGCTGGGTTTGGGGGCTCCGCTCTGATGCCACCTTGTTGGGAAGCAGAGATGGCTGCGGAGCCCCTGGGCTCGGCAGGGCAGGGATGGGCGCTGTGGCTGCCCGGGGAATGCCTTCGGGCGCGGGTGACACGGCGGCGGAGCTCCGGAGATACCGCAGCCTCCCCGGGGCCGGGGTCCGGCTGGGGGGACACGGCAGGGCATGGTTGCTATTGCAGGGAGACGGGGGATCCACGACCGGTCCGCGATCCACACCTGGGCACGATTCCCACGGGGCTGTGGGGTTGGGGACCTGCCGGGCTGGTGGCGGCAGCCGGGTGAGCCCTGCCTTGGGGTCAAGCGGGGATCGGCCCTGGGAGCGTCCCACCCAGCCCGTGCTTGGGGACCCTCTTCCGGCATTTGGGGGAGCAGCCCCGGAGCCTCCCGGTGCTGCCGGTCCCGGCCGGAAGAGCCGGAGGTGCGGGAGGCAGTGGGGAGCCGAGAACGGTCGGGGCCAACTACGGGAGGCTCAGCCCGTTCCCCCGGGGCTGCGAGGGCCAAACGCCGCAGAGCACCGGGAGCTGTCGGGCTCGAGGCCGCCAATTTCGTTGTGGTGCTCAGTGGCCCCAAAGAGCAGCGTTTCGGTCTCAAAACGAGCGCGGGGACCAGGTGGGGAGCGGAACCACGGCCAAAGGTGCGGCCCGTCCGTGGAACACCGGCGGGGACAGCCGTGCCCGTTCCGCTGCTGTTCTGCCGTGCCCGGGGACAGGTGCCCGGGTTTGGGTTTGCCCGGCCGGGAGGTGCGGGGGGCCGAGCCGGTGCGTGTGTGTGTGTATCCGAGTGTGTATATGTGTGTGTGTATCCTGTGTGCGTGTTTGTGTGTGTGTGTGTGCTCGCCGTGTCCCTCCCTCCCTCCAGCCACCCCACCCCCGGGAGGGGAGGGAAGGAGGAGATGGGAGGGGGGGGCTCCGACGGCTCGCCTCGCTCCGGCAGCCCCAGTCTCTCCGCCAACGTCAGGGAGGTCATTAATAACCAATTAGGAGGGTCAATGAAGCTCATATATAGCCGGGCGGGAGCCGCCGAGCCGAACGGAGCCCAGCCCGCCGCCCGCCGCCCGTCGCGCCCGACCCCGTCGCGCTCGGCCCCGCCGCCTCGCCCCCATGATGGGCTCGGTGCTGCCCGCCGAGGCCCTGGTCCTCAAGCCTGGGCTGAAGCCGCAGGGGCTCTCGCTGGCCGAGGTGATCACCTCCGACATCCTGCACAGCTTCCTCTACGGCCGCTGGAGAAACGTCCTGGGCGAGCAGCTCTTCGAGGAGAAGAGCAGCCCCAAGACCGCCTTCACGGCCGAAGTCCTGGCTCAGTCCTTCTCCGGAGGTGAGTGACCCCCCCCCCGGACCCTCCCCGATCCCCTCGGTTTCCCCCATCGGCCCCGGGCCGGCTCCCGGTGCCCGGCGGCGGGATGCGGTCCCGGCGCCCCGCTCTCCCCAGGCGTGGGACTAAGGGAAAAGGGCTTTAAATTCATTTGGTTAACTTGGGCTTGACCTGAGAAAGTTCCCACTTAAACCGCGGGCTGGGGGGGCCGGGGCCGTCTCGCATTCAGCCGCCCGGGACAATATCTTTTCTCTCGCCCCGGCATCGCCGGGGCGTCCCAGCTCCCTTTTCCCCCTCTCGGATTTCTGTTCCTCTCTTAATTTACCATGAAGGCTAATTCCATTTCCATTCACGATATGTCAACCATCTCATCTCCCCATTTTGTAAGAGGAATTCCTGGGCCCTTTTAAACAAGCCCTCGCGCCATTCAGGCACAATGTACCGCTACAGCATTCCTAAAGGACTAATGAATTTAGAATTAGCAATTTCTTTCTAGTTGAGTTTAATGAATGCAGATCACTTTAACAGCATGACAAATTGCTGGATGGGCCGAAATAGACACCATTTAACCTCCTTTCCCAGCCCCGCTCCCTCGCCCAGCCCGGGATGCTTTTCCCAGGTACCTCCTCAATGCCCCGGGGGAACCTTGTACCGCTTTGTGGGAGCCCGGCTGGGCGTTTAAAAGGCTCAGCCCCGGGGTCTGCGCTGAGGCCGGGGTTGGGCGGGGTCCCCGCCGCTCTCGGTCCCCCCCCTCTCCCCCAGCCCTGTCCCTTTCTGAGCCATCTCCCCCCTCGCAGAGGTGCAGAAGCTCTCCAGCCTGGTGCTGCCGTCGGAAGTGATCATCGCCCAGAGCTCCATCCCCGGAGAAGGGCTCGGCATCTTCTCCAAGACTTGGATCAAGGCTGGCACCGAGATGGGGCCGTTCACGGGCAGGGTCATCTCCCCCGAACATGTGGACCTGTGCAAGAACAACAACCTCATGTGGGAGGTAACGACTCCCCTGAACCCCGAGCCCGAACTGATCTGGAGAGAAGTAGGGACAGGGTGCCGGGGCTCTGTCCCGTGCCTGGGCACCATCGGGCACCATCCTCGTGCCTCAGTTTCCCCATTCATGCAAATATCTGGGCAGGTGGGTTTAGGAATCCCTTGGAGGAAAAGGATGAGGTTTCCTCAGCCCTCGGGGTGCAGCCAGCCCACAGAGGAGCCCCAAAATGCTGTTTCTCGTGCCCGGTGCAGCCATATCACACCCTGCCCTGTCCTGCCCATCCTGTCCTGTTGGAACACCCGACTGGTTCCTGCCTGCACTGGCCACAGTAGGCAAAAACAGCTCTGCCCTGTTCCCTGCTCCCTGCTTTGCCCCAGCCCTGGTGAGGTCAATCCCAAATCAAACTGTGGAATTTGGGGGGATCTGAGGAGGACAGGATATTGTGCACTAATGTACAGTCAATAGAGAGGGTTTTCCTATTTTTTAATTTGTTTGATTCAGACTTGCACTTCTTAATTATTGTTAATTATTATTATAATTTTATGCCTAACAGAAACTTGCCTCATCTTTCCTGGCACCCTGCCAAGCATCATTCCAAGCCTGGCATGCACCTTCCCTCTCCACCCAGGGATTCTCCCGCTCCCACGGCAGCTGCAGGAACAGCCCCTTCCTCTGGGGCTGAGCTGCTGGTGGGGCTCTGATGAGAAGGGAGATTAAGGAAGGGAGCTGGGTTTTCCAGGGAGATAGGGGCTGGCAGGACCAGCCATGCCAGTGAGAGCTGAGCACATTCCTCAGCCCCGATACAGTCCAGCACCATGAGAAGGAAGGGTTTGGCATCTCCTGGCTGCTGCCAGGATCTCAGCCCCGAGGCTGTGCTAGCTTTGAGTTTGTCCCTGTCCAGGGGCTTTACCCCAGAGGCAGGAGGTGGAGGGGCTCAGCCCACTGAGGACAGCATCGCTACCAAGTGCTCTCTCCCCTCGCAGGTGTTCAATGAGGACGGCACAGTACGGTATTTCATCGACGCCAGCCAGGAGGATCACCGCAGCTGGATGACCTACATCAAATGTGCACGGAATGAGCAGGAGCAGAACCTCGAGGTGGTCCAGATTGGGAACAGCATCTTCTATAAGGCCATTGAGGTAAGTGGGGCTGAAGGGCAGCCGAGCACCTGCAATAGAGGAGCAGGGTGGTGGGATCCACCATCCTACAGACTCTCCCTTCCTTGTTCTTTGGGTTGTTGGTGGGGTGTCTGTGGAAGGACACGGCAGCTTTTCCATCCTTGGAGCTCAGATCCACCAGCAGAGGTAGAAACCACAGGGAAGGGCCATTGCATGGCCTTCAGAGAGTAGTAAAGGTCCCTTCTCCTCTCTGCCCCCTTTCTGTGGGCTCATGGAGTGATGTGTTAAACAGAGGGAGAGTAGATCCTTGTTTGGGGTGTAAAGCATGAAAAGAGCTGCAATTCTGGCCCATGCGGGGCTTTGGGCAAGGACGAGGCTTGCATGCTCTATTAAAAAAGTGGGATTTTGTGCAGAACCTTCTTCTTTATAGCAGGGTAAAGTTTGGGGGGGTCCTGTGAAACCCAGGTGCTGAGCACAGGCTGTGCCTGGCTGCACTACTTTGCCTGGGCATCACACTCCAGCTGTGCAGGGAACCACGGAGTGGGCAGGAAGTATATTGTGCTCAGCACTGGATGAGGTGCTGGTCTGTGCTGGTGTGGCACACGAGCAGGGTCCCAGGGGTGGTGCAGCTGCTGTGCCAGTGAGTGGGGTGATGGCTGAAGGGTGCCCACATCTCCCTACAGGACACTCTGGGATGGAGGTGGGTGTCCGGTTCCCTGGCGTTATTGATGACATGTGCATAGAAATCACACAGTGCCAGAGCAGGGGGAGGGTGGAGACCAGCCCTGCTTATGTGCAGTGTCCCTGTAACCCAACGCTATTGCAGGTGGAGAAAGGTGGTGGCTTGGGGAGGTGGCCCTGTGTAGCAGCTTTGGCTTAAAGAGTCACAAGAGGAAACACGTCCCAATCCATCCCAGACCAGCACTGTGGGATTTTCCCTCTCCAGTATTGGGTTCAGAGTCTCACCTGAGGAGCATTTGCAGTTGGGAGAGGCTCTCAGCCGGGAATGACCGTGAGTGCCTGCTGGTTCCGTGGGCATGGGCAGCTCCCAGATCCATCCAGGCTCCTGCACTGGTTTATGGAGGAGCACAAACTCAGGTGATCCATGGCACAGGACCACAGCACAAGCAGCAGGGCTGGGTTAGGGATTGCTGCCATGGGGTGGCAAAGGAGAATGGGTGGGTGGGAAGACAATCAGATATTCTGTCCTAGTGCAGGAGACTCCTGTGTGCCCCTTGGGCTCTGCCACCTTTCCCAAGTGCTCCAAACACTTCCCTGCTGTTCTCATGCTGGACACCCCTTCACAGGCTTCAGATGTTTCTAGTTTTAAGACCTGATATTCTTGTGGACATCTGTGCCTATTGTGATAGCAGCTTAAGTGCTTTTACAATTGTTCTTAAATTATGTAAATGAGTAGAATAATTGCAGGTAGCCATGGTGTAATTAGGAACATGACTGTGGTTTTTACACCTTGTGGAGGCATGGACAAGGAGGTGGGTGAGGGATATTTGGGTATAGCCATGATCCAGCTCTAGGCTTGTTCCTGGGGCTGAAGCAGTGAGCAGTGGAACAGGATGAGTTTAATTCTCTTGGCACAAGCAGTGAATTTGAGATGCTGAGAGTGCTGAACCCCAAGCGACGTGTGGGAGGAGGTGGGCACAAAGGGTCCCTGCTGTCACGCTGCTCCCCAGGACACGCACACACCGGCCCGAACTTGAGCGCTGTCCTGCTCAGCACCACAGGTGTCCATGTGTGCCATTGTCACCCTCCATCCCCCACCAGCCCTGGTGGCTTCCCCATCTCCTGTCCCCCTGCACAGCCTCCTGCCCATGCCCGCTGTGCCCCTGTAGCAGTGGCACAGTGAACTGCCCGGTTCCTATTGCTCTGCACCCAGCTCTGCCGAAGCAGGGCTCCAAAAGCATCTCTTTGGATGTCTTTCTCACCTTCATTCCAAAAAGTCAGATTTATTTGGTGCTTTTTTTTCCTATTTACCTTTGATATTTTAATGTGTTTTGCCCATTCCTGCCCTAATTTGCTGGTTTGTTTTTCCGATCCCCTTTCTCAGCAATACCAAGTTGCTGCTGCTGCAAAATAAAGTGAGGGCAGGAAGTTTTGGCTTTTAAAGGCCACAAGATTCCTGGGGGCAATTTGAATTTGCTTTGGGGTGTATGCACATGGGTGCTCACCCACTGCTGGTGTGGCTGCAGCAGCTTCAGCAGAATAAAACACACACCCGTGTATACACCCATGCAGATTGTTTTATCCTTTCAACAATATTTTATTTACTTGTATTAAAAATGACTAATTTTCTGTTAAGAGTAAATAACCCCAAGAAACGGTGTCATCAATTTGTGATGCAAAAGGATATCGGCTTCCTCTGCCTCCCAAATTCCTCCTCTGCAGCCCAGTGAGGTCTTTATGCAGATAGACAAAGATAAGAAGTCAAATTACTATTGATTTCAGATGCTTAAAATTCAATGTATTTTCAGTGTTGAAATGATTGAACTTAGAATCTGTGTTTCATGTGGATGCTTGAATCTAGCATGCTCAGTGTACAGAAAACAAAAAATCCTCCAAAACGTAGGACATTCCTATTTCTAAATTAGGTTCTTAACAGTAGGGACTGCTAGGGAAAATATGTAATTTTTTTTTATAAAGTGATATTGTTATTAGTGTTGTTTGGACTGGTCTGAGAAGATCCATCTTCCCAGCCACAGCTGCTGCACGAGGGGAGCCTTGAGTGGCGTTTCCTGGCTGCTCGCCCCAGCCATGCGGGACCACGACAGGAACAGCAGGGACAGAAGTGCCATCACTTCAGGGAAATGGGAGTGTGGATGATGCAAAACCCCTGCCCTGCTCCTGTAACTGTCCTTGGGCTGTTGCAGGCACTGCAGCTCTGGTGGGAGATACAAGCAGTGTTTCACACCTGAGCCCTGGTCTCTGACAGCAGCCCCGAGCTCTCCTCTGCTCCATGGGCTGATGAGCCCTTTGCTGGTGGATCTGCATTTCCACCTTCTAAAAGCAGCTCTGGCAGGGGTGGGTGGGAGATGCTGCCTGTGCCCTGCAGCTGGAAGGTGCTGGTGGCTCTGTCCAACGACAAAATGCTCTCCTGGAGCCCTGAGCCAGGGCTCCGTGTCCCAGCTCCCTGCTTTGGTCTCTGTCACTTGTGCTGGTTGTGGCTCCACAAATGGTTTATTTCTTCATGTCTCTGTGTTTCATCCTGTCCTGGTCTCCCTGCATTTCTGGGACCTCTGGGTCCTGCACTCCAGAGACTCCAGATCTGTCCCTGTGCTCTCATGCTGGACACCCCTGCATATTTAGCTGCATATTTGCCCATAATCCCATTTGTGTCCCAGCGTGGGGAAGAGCCTGGAATGGGTCTGTGCTGGTGCTGGGTGGTGCTGAGCTGTGCCATCACCTCCAGTGCTGCATCCTGGGCTGTTCCATGCCTGCCTGTGGGTGTTGGGGACTGCTAGATGGTCCCAGATGGCAGCAGAGTCTCACAGAAATGGGGCACAACCAGGGTAGGTCCAAATGGATCAGAGCAGGGATGGATGTTCATTGCTCCTCCCAACTACCCTTTTTCTATCTCTCTTTCTAGATGATTCCTCCAGACCAAGAGCTGTTGGTCTGGTATGGGAACTCCCACAACACCTTCCTGGGCATCCCAGGTGTGCCAGGGCTGGAAGAGGAGCAGAAGAAGAACAAACATGGTAGGTATCAGAAAGAGTCAAGGGCACAACATCCCTGCTGGCTCATCCTGTGCCCAGCTCTGAGGCCATTGGGTGGGCACAAGGCAGGGACACCCCAGGGGTATGGCAGATATCCCAGTACTCTGAGGACAAGCACAGAGATGATGAAATGATCCATACAGCTTGAACAGGTCCACAGTAATTCAGGGCGATGCCTCCAGGCCAGTTTGCCCACGGCTGCTGCTGGTGGGGTGTCTGGCAGTCACTGCCTGACGCAGCCAGGCAGGGAGGAGCAGGGCAGGGTGCGAGTGTAAGGCAACCCCAAAACTCCACGAAACACCAAGTGAATGCATCTACATTCCCACTCTGCATTTAAGGGATCTTAATCACCAACACCGGAGGCTTTTCTCTCTCCTTGGGCTTTCGCTCTCTGCTTGTCTCAGTGGCTCCCCGTGGTGCTTCTCTGTGGCACAGCACAGCTCATGCTGTGTTTGGAGCCACTTCTGTGATCCCCGACTCTGCTCCCCACTCTGAGAGAGCCATGTCTGAGCAGAGCAGAGTGAAGGGAGAAGCTGGGATCAGGGCAGGGGCTGGACAGTGTGGTTGGGGGTTCCTGAGAGTTCCTGCACCCACCCCCTCCAGCTCTGCTGCAGCCCAGGGAGGGGAAAATTGATTTCATGTCCATCTGCAAGGGATTCATTCAGATCAGCTTGAATGTTCCCCTTACCTAAATCTGGCTGAGCCCATTCCCAGCACTGGCTGCATCCCAAAATCCTACGAGCCAACCTGGATGCCAGTCTCTCCAGGATAGGTGACCTCAGCAGCAGGGAGCCAGTGAGAGGGCACTGGGAGCTTTCCAGGGCACCCAGCACCCCAGGGACTTGGGGTGAGGTGAGCTGCTGTGCTGGAGGGCAGTGTCTGACTGTCCCCTGTCGCCCCCAGAGGATTTCCACGCGGTGGAGACGGGGGCCAGCACAACGGGCCGCATGCGCTGCGTCATCTGCCACCGCGGCTTCAACTCCCGCAGCAACCTGCGCTCCCACATGCGCATCCACACCCTGGACAAGCCCTTCGTGTGTCGCTTCTGCAACCGCCGCTTCAGCCAGTCCTCTACCCTCCGCAACCACGTCCGCTTGCACACGGGCGAGCGGCCCTACAAGTGCCAGGTTTGCCAAAGTGCCTATTCCCAACTCGCAGGGCTGCGGGCGCACCAGAAGAGCGCCCGCCACCGGCCCCCCAACGCCTCCCTGCAGGCCCACTCGCCCGCCCTGCCCGTGCCCCATCCTGCCTCGCTGGCCCATCACATCCCCACCATGGTGCTGTGAAGTCCTGGTGTGGCAGCAGGATTTGGGACTGATGCAAAGACTGATGCTGAGACATGCAATGAACTTGGGGGGTGGCCCTTGGCTGAGCTGCTTTGTGTCTCGGAGGAGTGTTGGGTTGTTTTTGGGCATTGCTGACTTAGAGGGTTTGGCAGGAGGGGAACCCCCAGCTCTTCAGCTGAGTTGTGTGGGGTCATCCCCAGGGAGATGTGGCAAAGGGTGGGCTGGTGGCCCCTGGGGTTGGCAGAGGAGAAGGGATGCAGTGGGATGTCCTGTGTGAGTTTGCCAGTGGACTGGGGGAGCCGAAAAGCTGGGCCTGGATCAGTCATGGCTGGGTTTTACAGATAATTTGGTAGAAAGAAAAATTCCTCTTATCCATCCTCCTCTGCTCTAGCAGATATGTTCCCTATTGAAAGGCTGGCACAGCCCTGATGCGACCACCCCAGTCATACCTGTTTGCCCCGGGAGTGGCTTTGGCCCCGGTGGCTCCTTCTAAGGGACACCTTTCCCTCCCTGGGAGACCTGAGTTGGTGAACATTTGCATTTTCCAGCACCTGAGCCCCCTCTGCCCACCCTGCCTCAGCCCGAGCCCTGTACTGGGGTCTGTCACTGCTCCAAGCGATGCTGTGGGCAGAGGGGACGAGCCATGTGCCATGGGGGACACTGTGCCAGCTGGGAGTGCCCATCCACAGGCAGGTTGTGCGGGGAGCCTGAGCTCTGCCGGGCTGTGCCTGTTCCAGCCCTGGCAGCTCTTCTCCCCATCCCTTTCCCAGCTGTGAAGGAACATTTTGGTTGGAACTGCTGCTGCCCTCTGGGGACAGAGAAAACCTGTCCCCGGGCCAGCTCTGTCCCCAAGGACAACTCTAAGCGCCCTCTGGAGTCGCCACACTGCGGAGGAGGGCTGTGTATCATAAATCTTAAAAGAAGGCATTCTAATATTAATTATAAGTCAGAGATGTATAAAGTTCTCACAAACCGTGTTTCACTTCCAGAAGAAAATAAACAAAAACAGAAGAAAAAAACCCTGTCACTTTAACTTTGTAAATATTTATGTAAACATTATTTACAAGACTTTGATATTATATATTATTTGATTGTATATGTACACAGTGTAAATACATTTGTACCTCTCTTGTATTCTAAATAAAAATTACTTGGAACATTTATCATTTAGAAGAGGGACAGCATGGAAAGCTTTATTTTACGTACCAGGGCAATGATGTGGGTACTGGATGAGTGAAAGCCCTAACTGACACAACAATCTGTGGGTGAGGAGATGTGGTGTCATCTGTTGGACCAAGAAGTGCATCTGGGAGGGGAAGAAACCCAGGTTTTAGCTAAAAAAGCCCTTTTTCAGGTCTGGAAGCTGGGGTAAGTGCTGGCTCACTCTGGAGCGGGTGGTATCTACTAATTCTACCCCGCCAGTCCCTCTTCTTATGAACTTGTACAGTCCCTCTTTGAAGCCATAGCTACTGCTATCCTTTGATACATTCCATGAAGCAGTGCCCACATTTTGGCTGTGATGGCATATAGGTGCAAGCCCTGCTGGAAGGAAGCAGCATACACGCTGACTGTCATCACGGGCTGCATTTCCCGTGGCATTTCCTCCACAGCTCTGAGAGCCGAACCGGTGTGTGAATGGATAAAACTTTTCCACGGATGTATCAGTTCCTGCTGGCACAGGTCGGCCGAGGGGAAGGGGTCAGTCCCGAGTCCCGCGGGGATGTTTAAGCCAAGCGTGAGCACCGGCCAGCTGAGGAGGGCATCAGAGGATTACCCTCAGGGGGACACCTTGTATGAGGGACACCCAAACTGGGGGTGCTGCTCCCCGCCTCGAGCCGCAGCACTGCCGCCCACCGCGGGCTGCGGGGCCCGGTGAGCCCCGGGGCAGGCCCGTGGCGTCCCTCCGGTTTGCCGGTCGGGTTCTGAGGGAGCCGGGGGCTGCCCGAAGAGTGGCACACCTTGCCCGCACTAAAGATGGCCGCACCCTCCCCTTGGGCTCCGTCGGGGCGAAGCCCAACAGTCCCTTCGCTGCCAGAAACAACCATGGCTGCCCAGTCACCGCCTCCACCGCCCTCACTCAAGATGGCGCCGCCGGCGGCCTCAGGCGCGCTCTCGCCAGCAGCCAACATGGCGGGCGGAAGGCGCGTGCGGCGGGGCCAAGATGGCGGCGGTCACCATGAGGCTGCCGGCGGTCCGCGCGCCCCTGGATTCCAGCGCGCCCCAGGGCGGCGAGAAGCACCTGGTGGCACCGGGGGACACGATCACCACGGACACGGGATATATGAGGTGCGGGCAGCGGCGGAGGCGAGGCGGCGGCGGGGTGGCGCGGCTTCGGGCTGTCCTTAGGTGGCCGCTCTCTCCGCAGGGGCCACGGTACTTATGTGGAGGACGAGAAGCTGATCGCCTCGGTGGCCGGCGTGGTAGAGAGGGTGAACAAGCTGGTGTGTGTCAGGGCGCTGAAGGCCAGGTGAGCGCGGCCGGGGTGGGTGCGGGGCCTGGCTCGGCAGGGTGAGGTGTGTGACCGCCGCTCTCTGTCCCAGGTACAACGGCGAGATCGGTGACATCGTGGTCGGGAGGATTACGGAGGTAAAGTCCCGTGATTGCCGCGCTGCCGAGGAGGAGGGTGGTCGTGGCTCCATCCGACTCTAAGCGCCCTCCTGGGATCCTAAAACATTGATACACATCAGTGTCCCTGCGCAGGGTACTGGGAGCGTGTTGATTTTAACCATGATGAGGCTCGAAGAAGCCAGAAGAGCTGTCCCCTCCTGCAGCTTGGTGAGCTGCAGCTCCCATTCAATTTTTGAGTGTGTATCCATAAGTTTGGGTGGTTTTTTTTCCCCTTAGGTTCAGCAGAAGCGATGGAAAGTGGAAACAAATTCCAGGCTGGATTCAGTCCTGTTACTATCGTCTATAAATTTACCTGGTGGGGAGCTGGTGAGTGTAGCTGGTTGTTTTGCATGGCATCCTAAGGTCTCCCACAATGAGCTACTGATGGATGTTTTCTCATTCTGGGCTACATGTAACTTTTCTTGTGATGTTTCAGAGAAGGAAATCAGCAGAAGATGAGCTTGCAATGAGGGACTACCTGCAAGAAGGGGATCTCATCAGCGTATCCTTTTGCTGCTCCCACTGACAGATGAGCCAAGGGCATGGGAAGAACAGGGAGAGCTTGGCTGGCCTGGCTGGGGGTGAGAGCTATGGTGGGGTGGCACTGGGAAGCCTTAGGGACCCTGTTTCCTTAAGTGGCACCGACAGGCAGAGGTTCAGTCTATATTTGCTGATGGGGCTGTATCGCTGCACACCCGGAGCCTGAAGTACGGGAAGGTGAGTTATTCCAAAGGCCTTGATCCGGGGTTAATTCTGCACCACCTGACTTGTATAAGGCCTTTTGGAGGCTTTTGTAAGGAAAAAGCTCTGGAGTGGAGAAGGATGTTGTTATAACCCATTCCTGCAGGACAGGAAGACTCTCAGCATGGGAGCACCAGGTAGAGTTTCCCCAAAGCAGAGGAGGTGTCCTTGAGTTGCCCTTTGATCCACTGCTTCCCCTGACTGCAGTTTCAGCCTGCTAGATCTGTTTTCCCCACTAGCCACTTGGGAATTAAATCCTGGGGAGAGATCTCCTCACTCCTCTTCAACTGGCTGTTGCCCCTGTGACTTGTTCCTCTCCCCAGGGCTCTATTTTAGGCTTTGTGCAGTTGGCATTTATCTCTGGTTTTGTGCATTGAAGTAAGCCAAGGGGCTGTTGGAGCGTAGGCTGCAGTTTGGGATTACCAGACCGAGGGTATTAGCACTTAAAAGATGAAAGGAAAGTGTGCTTATTGCACAAAGGGTGAAGGACAGTGATTGGATTACCGGGGAAAGTGTTCTGCTAAATTGGGCCACTGACTCCTCATTTTTCTGCAGGGATGGTTGATGTGTAGTTACAATCAAGATATTATTAACATTCATGCTAAGCACTTAGAGTATTCTTCATCTTCAAAGGGATGCATTAACTAATCCTCCCAGCACTCCCAGAGGCAGGCAGGTTTTATATTCACTGTTTCACAGGCAAAGATGTTAAAACAGAGTTGTTCCTAGGCCAGGAATGGAGTGTGTGTCAGTGACTTGGTGTTATCTGTGGTGGCTCATGATGTCTCTCATACTGAGCCTCATGGTCTGTTCTCCAGCTTGGCCAGGGTGTGCTGGTTCAGGTCTCTCCCTCCCTTGTGAAACGCCAGAAGACTCATTTCCACGACCTGCCCTGTGGTGCATCCGTGATCCTCGGCAACAATGGCTTCATCTGGATCTACCCAACTCCGGAGCAGAAGGATGACGAGGCTGGAGGCTACACCGCCAACTTGGAGGTGAGTGTTCAGGGAAGGTTGGCCTTCTTCTACCAGTGATGGTTTTCAGTCTGACATAGTCAGAGGCACGTGAGTAACCTGAGACTCTCAGGATCTTGTAATAGGTTCACAGCAAGGCTTTTTTACTTATTTCCCTCTGCATTCATCCCTTTTCCTCTGTCCTTCCTCAGCCAGTTCCCTTGTCTGACCGGGAGGTGATCTCACGGCTCCGAAACTGCATTGTGGCTCTGGTTACTCACAAGATGATGCTCTTTGACACCAGCATCCTGTATTGCTATGAAGCATCCCTTCCTCATCAGGTATAGGAACCAGTAGTGTTTATTCCACACTGAGGGGAGGGAACAGAAGGGCTGCATCAGTGGCTGCTGAAGTCAGAGTTTCCTTTCAGCTTACCAAAACATCCTGTAGTAAGTGACAGTACAAACTCTCACCTTCCGCATAACGTAAGTTGCGTTGCACAATTTCAGGGATAATTTGAAGGGTTCTGCCTCTGGCAAAGTCTAGCTATTCCTACAGAGAGATCAGTCCCTTTTTTGATAGATGTTGTGTATCCCTTGCTGGGATTATGGACCCTTAATTCCTGTGAAAACAGTGTTAAATTTGGTATTGTATGAGGGTACAGTGCATTTTATGAAGCAATGAAAAAGTAAATGTCATGTATTGTACAGAGTGCACTCTCATGTCTGTATCCACTGCTGGAAGGCTGCCTCCAGCAGCCTTTGACCTCTTGCTGTACAGCTTTTCACTGTGATTCCTGCCAGCACGATCATGGGCAATTCTCTTCCCATAAATAAATGAGATCTGAATTGTCTTCTGCTTTCATTCTCAATGAGGTGTTCATTTGAACTATTACTGTGTTTAAATCATTTCTGCCCTTCCCAAATACAGTGTGTGTCCTTGAAGGAAGATGAGGAGGGTTAGTAGCCTCTTCTTTGATTTCCTCTGGTCTCTGTAAGAATTCCCAACTGGCAAAGTTAATTTTGCCTTGGACCCACTGCCTCTGCCATAGGTCTTTTTTTACCACAACCCTCTAAACTTCCTTGCTGGTCAGTGCCATGTGTCAGGGAGCTTTGTTTCCCCACAGAGTGCAAAAACAGCAGTTGATTCCTGGTGCTCATATTGCTCTTCTTTCCACTGCAGATCAAGGACATTCTGAAACCAGAGGTGACAGAGGAGATCATTTTGGAAGCTCGACAGAGGTTG